AGAAGGATCGGTGAAACTTGGAAGTTATTCCGGGCAGAAGACTAGAGAACAGAAGTAGGATTTCCATCAGAAGTACTGCTGTTAGTTCAATCGACTGAGGTTTCCCATAAATGTATTATATGGGTGAAATGAAGCTGATATGAGAGGCTTGCTTTATAGGCTGTTGTATTACTTTGTCGCCCGGTCCATAGTACGTCTTGTTAGAAGATCCACACTCGTTTGATCAAACCAGCGCGAACTGTGGAACAGAAATTTTTTTCTAGATGAGCTGGTAACTAGTTGTGTGGTTCACTCGAATTTTCCGGATAACTTGGTTTGGTAAATAAAACACGACAGAAGACAACAACCATGTTTATAGACTAGTCACATTCGCCGCATCACAGCACTGTTGACATGTATATGTGGTACCGGTGCGAGAGACTTGGTAAACTGACCGCATCGTGGAGCACTGTCTCTGATCGTCCACACCCATCCGTTCACTGGAATCAGATTCACTTTGGAGAAAGAACAAAACGGACAACTTCCATTTCTGGACGTATTGGTCAAACGAACCGAGGACGGGCAACTAGAAACCGACGTCTATCGAAAGCCAGCCCGCACAGATCAGATCCTCAGCTTTCAAAGCAACCACCTCGTGGCACACAAGAGGAGCTGCATATGCAAACGCTTCTCAAACGAGCAAAAACGCACTGCAGCAATCTCCAACTTCAAAGGGCGGAGGAAGCCCACTCTTTTGAGGTGTTTCGACGTAACGGATACCGACGGAATTTCGTGCTACGCTGCTTCCATAAGACGCTCAAGGAGATGACAACAATTGAGGCCCCGGGAGAAGCCACAAATGCAGTCAGAAGAACGACCGACCATTAAACGAACAACACTGCCATATATACAAGGAATCTCGGAAATGGCAGCCAGGTTGTTGCAACCGTCACGAATTTCGGTTGCACACAAAACTACAGCGACAATGAGGGCTATCCTGTCAAGGCCAAAGCATCAACTACCAATGGACGATTCCTCAAACATCATATTCAAATTAAAGTGCCGAGACTGCGACAAATGCTACGTGGGACAAACCAGCAGAAAGCTCAAGACACGACTGCACGAACACACTGGCGGTCAAACGACACGAGGAGAAATCACAAATCTCAATCCACATGGATGCTGAGAATCATGTCTTCGAACTGGACAGAGTAAGAATAATCGGAAGAGGACCCACCAAGTCTATACGGGAATTCATCGAAGCATGGCACGGCTAGTATAAATAAGCACACAAAACTAGAACATATCTATCACTATCCAAGGAAACACTGGTAACCCGAAGGTGCTCCAGCTAGAACCGGTCCAAAACCAGTTCTAACCAGTTTGGGAATGGTTCAAAACCGGTTTGCGGTTGCTCTGTCAGAGCCAGTCGACCAATGAGAAAAAGGATGGTTACCGTAACATCGGAACAGCCAGTCAAATCACAGCAAACGGTTGCTATTGACCAGTAGGAATAAAGGGACGCGAACAGCCAATCACAACCCTCAAACAGAACTATATAAACTCTGTCCCACTGGGGATTGGAGCTTCCTCGAAGTCGCACCGATGATGTTGCCTAGCTTGGCTACGAAACGTCTGCGAACTAATTTCAGCTCGGAGAACTCACCAACACCAACAACAGTTCCCTTATCCCACACACGCTCAGCAGGGTGCAGTTGTACTCTTCATAACTCAAATCGCTCGTATAATTTGACTTCCAATCATTGACTGTGAAACTGGCATCATGCTAGTGGGAATTCTGCGAATTCAGATTGATTTCAGTCTTGCGCTTTAATTCAGCACCATTTCTGGTAGTTTTTTTGAGAGAAATATGTTTGGGTCTGTTAACTTGGTACTGATCAAGGTTTAACGTACGCTGCTTCAGATCTTGCTTAATTTAGAGCTGCGTTTTTCCATACACATTTGACCCTCGGTTAATTTTGAGTAATGGTGTGCGATTTGGACCAGGCATTGTACGTGAAGATGTCCGAAGGATGACCAGTTCGAGTTCAACCGAATTCTCCGGAATCCACTGTAGAGCATATTTATCACACTGATTTCATGACTCGAGAAAATCCCCGTCATGAAATAGGTAGTTTTATGGCCCATTTGTTTAGTCTTATGAGGAACTCGATTCGTTTTCTACAAGAGTTAAGACGAGCGCAACGCGAATAGTTAATCGTTTTGTTCTAGCCTAGATTCAATGCCATCGTCACGGAGGCAACCCCGTTTGTACCAACCCTTATCCGAAACGCGTACTCGCTTGATAAATCATTTGGGTCACGTGATAATGGTTTCTATAACCTTACCGAGCACGCTCTATGGTGTGTACAAGGCGCTTAGGTTGCCAAAAGCGTGTTATTAGCTTCGTGCTCCGTTGAATTAAGTGCTGAATGATAATTGCAGGCCGTGCTTACAAATAGTCGCATAATTACCCCTTTGATATATGGGGTTTATTGTCTTCTTCACGAACGCGGAAAAATAGTTACTAGTTCTATGGATAGAGTAATGTAAATTCGTTGGAATATCTATGAAACACTCGATCAAACTCATTCGTTTACCCCACGTCATCGTCTCGTGTTTATCGCAGTTGACTGACAACATTTTATCTGGCGTTATTTTTGTGTCTCAACTTCTTCATGCATACCCACGGTGTATGATGGGTCATGTAAAATCTGTTTTGCTTTCCTACAACAGGATGAAGAACGGTTGCGCGTTGTGGTTGCAGATGTGAAACCATTAGACCACGTGGACTATGCACGTCGGCTTGCGAAAGCTATCAATGATCTGGCTCCAAGCCTACCGGAGGAGGTGACTGAGTATGCGGCGTAATCACTTGTCCTGTATGTGTAAAGTGATCGTTTGCTGTCACCACAGATTGAACTGTTACCCAGATTAACCTTCGTTGTACAGAATCTCCTGAATATTCACCTGATAATCACATTATCAAACGAATCACCGTCACTTTTTTGCTGTTGTTGCTATCATCATCGTCATCATCCATTTTGTTGCATACATTTACAAGAGATTACAATTATTCTGACCCGGTGACCGGTTTTCTCGTAAACATGCTTATTCAGGGCAGATAGCTTGCTCCGTTTCTCGAAGACTCTTGGCCTAGGTTAAGTTTCAGTTTTCATAGCCACTAGTCAAACACTTGTGCGGCGGTTTTCTTTTGTATCCTCTGGTTATCAATTTAAACGAAGGGGTAGAGAGGTGTCAAATTGATAGTAGAGAATTACTGTAGAGTAAGTTTGCGAAGAAACTTAGAAGATACATAGCACCACTGTTTACGATACTCAGCCGCGTCGGTTTACGCTGATTCCGGGGTCCCCATCCAGGAATCCGAGTTTCCAGGTGAGTGCTTGCATACTCTCGTGCCTAGTCGTAGCTTGACCACCCTTGCATTTTCCCACTCATAAGGTTGCCTCGACACAAATCGCACTATATGGCCAACTAATTTGTGACTTGCGTAACAGACGGTCAAACCAACGTAGTCCACAGAGGTCGACCTCGATTACCTAAAGCTTTGTGCCTAAATTCGGTGTTGCTTGTCCGGTTCTCTCACCAGAATCACACAATACCATGGCAAAACGACCAATCTGTCTTTATCCCGTTTTGATAATGGCCAAATCTATGCTGCATAGCAGTGCAGCATATACTGGACTCTCCACTGACAACCGGATTTCACGTATTAGCAGAGATATCTCCAGTTACCAAATGCCAATCGAGTCTTGTATATGCGTGCCGAAACTCTATCCATGATGCATCTGTCAGGCGAGATATAACTGCCAAAATAGTGAGCGTTGTCTAGTTTCCCTGATACTTCCCTAGTAATGATGGGGTTGAGAGCTGAACTAACCCAATCATATAGCTACAGTTTACGTTGAACTCATACCGAACATGGCTACATTAGCTCACTAGCCGTCAAGAAAATCTTGTTACTTGCCTGCTTGTTTACCTACTGTTTGCGCTAACCAATAAGTTATTGTCGGTTGACGTTGCGATTGCATCATGGAGTGCATGAGGTTTACACAGCAAATCGATAACCACATCGCGAGTAAAAAAAATTGCAAATAAATCTGGAAGTGTTTATGTGTTTATGATCTACCCTTAATTACATGAAAGTAAGCTGGGCTTGGGAGTGGAACTGCTAGAGCACGAGGGGAAATCGGACGACCACGATCTGTTCACAGAGTCAGCAGCTCCATTGTACCAACGCAATTTTTCAGTTGGATAGAATGGGTGATGACGACAGACGTTTACTTATTATATCCGATGTTTAGGACCTCAGCTACGGAGGCAAAACCCTTTTTCACGCATGTCTGAGTTCAGGCTGTGCCAAACAAGTCATGGTTTAATCATCGTTATAAAGTGAAAAGTGATCCCTGATTTGCCCTAGATATTTATTCATACCCGCATTCGACGTTACTCGTCAATCCGTGCTCGGTTTCCGCCTACGTTTGGCTGGAAACACCCACGGGGTGAGGTTCAGTAGATGACTTCTGAGACTGCGGTTATCCCAATTCATTGACAGTGAAGTTAACGCTTAGATACTACCAAGCACAGAAGTGTAAAAGAGGTCAATTCGTTGAACGTTATATGGACCGGTCTTTGTGAAGTCTGCACATTGATTTGGAGGTGAATGGATTTCGAAAATTAAATTGAGGCCGAAATGTGCTTATCGGTAAACAGCTCATCCCTATCTGTCCTGCCCAATGCCGGGGGCTAAATAGTCTTCATTTTCATGCACGGTGATCAAAGCAGTAGTGGTTTTTAATTTGCTTCACCAATAGAGTTTGCTACACGGTTGCTTCTAGGGAGTCGAATCACTAGGAGAGAGAAAGGTTAGGGTTCTCATTAAAGCATTTGAGAACACAGTGTAGGCGAACATATGTTTTCGGTGAATTCCTTTTCAAGCCTTTACAATCACATTTATATGAAACAAGTTCGATAAGGTCAAACAAAAAGGTGAATGACTCATGTGTTCGGCAATGAGCCCAAGAGAACTCAAACTTTTTTGTGCGCAGTTTCAATCACATAAACAAAGTGACTACGTCATGGTCGTATGAACAAGCAATTTACTCCTCCCTTGGCCAGGGGAGTTTGAGAGCTTGAATCAGTTTGCATTGTGCGCACAGCTCCGGCCTCATGAGTGGGATGCTAATCGCCTCTGCGGTCGCTAACGTACGAAACCGTATTGCTTTTGAGGAGTGGGGTGATAGATGATTGTAAATGCTGAGCGCATGTCAACCAAGTGAACCGTCTCTACCACATGAGCAACGATCGAGCTGGACAGTTCCACTTCCATCCTGTGTGAGCCAGCGTGGATTGTGTTCTTTGATCCGTTGAGATAACTGCCTTGTCGTTCGACCTACGTAAGTCGCACCACAGGTGCACTTGAATTGGTAGACAGTCGTAGATGAGGTCAGCATAGGCAATTTATCTTTGTTATAGCATCGGATGTTTGGTGACGTAGAGAACACACATCTTGGCTGTGCGGCATTAAATGTAGATTTTACTGCGAAGGATAAAACTACTGATCCTCTCAGTGGCGGCATCACCTTTAAACGGGAGTTTCATAAAAAGCCTTTTCTTCTCCGCTTTTGGCAGCTTTGTTGGCTTATTCTGTTTAGTCCAATTACGGTCGACAAACTTCTCAGGATAGCCATTTTCTAGTAAGGTTCTCCTAACTAGTTCAAGTTCGTCCTTCAAAGTATCTTCTGAACAGATGCGCCTTGCTCTTTGCACCAGACTGCGTATGAGGTTACGTTTTTGATAGAGTGGGACGAAGCTATGAAAATTTGTGTACTGTCCACTCCATGTTGCTTTGGGAAATATCTTTCTTTGGATAGAG